TTTTTTTTTTTTTTTTTTTGGTACCAGGGATTGAACTCGGGTCTTTGCACTTGTGAGGCAGGCCACCAAACCACTGAGCTAAATCCCCGGCCCTCAAAAGTCTTTTTTTTTGTACTGAGGATTAAACATGGATCCTTGCGCTGGCGAGGCAGGAGATGGCAACACTGAACTAAATCCCCGGCCTCCAAGTCTTTTTAAATGTGACTCCATGATCACAGTCCTCAGGGGCACTCCATAGCTCTGGTGACCAAGCTAGAGACATCACGGGATTCCAAACAGCTGCCACATGTGCCAACCCCTCTCTTGACTCACCCTTCTGCTGGCAGCTCCTGTCCCTTCCTTCCCATGTGGGCATCCACGAGGACAACTCTTACATCTTTATGGCATCCGAAGGCCCTCACAGACTGACTACCTGCTGAGCTGCCTGTCTCCAGCACCTTGCAGAAGGAGGGTATATGCCCACCGGACATTGGCTGAGCGATTCATTAAAAACATTGACAAGCAAGCAACCACATCTGAACGTGACATGTATGTGACCTTTGGTGCTAAGCTCAATGTTAAACAGTATCTCTAGTCTACAGATACTGCTAAAACCAGATGCTCAGTTTCATCCTGTGTAATCCTTTTGCTTCTGGGTTCAGAGGGTGAAGATAAGGGAAGAAATCCTTATCCCTGTGTACTTTTAGTTACTGTGTTGAAACTCAGGTTAGACTCAAAGTCTGTATGGTACTTACAGGGTCAGAAGCATAGATTACTCCTTTAGCAGGGCACAGTTAACAAAGAGCCCAGTTAAGTGGAAAAAGAATTCACTCTGACCTCCCACCACTGTTGATGGGAAATGCAGAATGCAGGTCTGAAGAAGGTGCCCTTTTTGTAAGGAACGAAGTTCTTGGAACTTTAGTGAAAGCACAAAAGCCTGAAGTGGACCTGGAATGACCACCAGGGGACAAGTCACCGCCAGAACTGGGACAGCCCACGCTTTAATTGCTCAGGGTTTCATCCCTCCCTGGTCACAGAGAGATGTGAGAAAACACCACACTGCTTTATGGTCAGAAATGAGAGTGAAGTTCTTGTTTCCCCTCTGTAAAATGTGGCCTCACCTGTCCTGTCAGATCAGTGATCAGTGTAGTATACAGGTGGTTGGTCCCATCACTCCCCAGAGTCCCATCAGTGACAGCCACATAAAACTGCAGTTTACAGAACACACAGTTTTGTGTCTTACATACAAATTATAATCAGATCACGGATGGACTTCAAGCTTTAACTCCTTTCAAATGTACTGCTGTGAAGCAAATAAACATAAAGGCTCTGATTCAGCTTTCATTTGGTGAGGATCAACGAGGTGCTGAAACCGTGGTACCCAGCACGTTAATGAACATTCATCCCATGACAGCTGTGTTGAAGCAAGTGTTAAGTGTACTGGCAGCACACAGGTTCGAGAACTCATTTGTTACTGGCCTGAGCCAGGGACAAGCATCATCAACATGTGGGTTTGGGTCAAACAAGTCCTTTGTAGCATCAAGAGCCCAGAGGTCCCAGAGGAAGGCTTAGGCCCCATGATACCATATGCCACTGTGTTCCTAGCAAAACAGCCCTGCTGGCTCTCTGGGAAGCCAATGACTAGAGTGAAGCATGTGCCACAGGAGGCTGTTCCTGGGCCTCTGGGCCCATAGAACTGTCTGATGCCAAGGGAACCGCCTTCTCTTACCCAGACCTCCTTGTCCCTGGAAGGACCCCAGGCCCTAATAATCAGTTTCCCTCCTTCACTGCAGGTCTGGGGCTCCTTCCCAAGGCTGTGCCATTTTTATTTTTCTTTTGGTACCGGGGATCGAACTCGGGACCTTGCACTTGCGAGGCAGGTGGTAGAACCACTGAGCCAAATCCCCAGCCCTAATTCTCTCTGTTTTACCTGGTACCAAAGCACCAACTCTCTGGTACAGATACTGCCACTGAGCCCCAGGTCACAGTGGTAGAGTGGGAGACTCTGGAGCCAGACTGCCTGAGTTCTGATCCTGTCTCCTCTGCTTAGACATGAAGTTCCAGAACAGTGCCTGGCACACAGGGACATCGATGTCATCCCCAGAGAGAGTAGTCAGTCATGGGGTCTCAACTGCTGCCAGTTGAGTCACTGTCTACCCAGTGTAGTTTTCTTGTAAAGGGTGAGACATGAGTGCAGAATGCAGAATGGCCCGGCCCTCTGCCATTAAGATGCCACCTCACAAAGCCCACAGAGCCAAGGTCCACAGTGAAGGATACAGAACGTGTGAATCCAAGTGGTTCAGCGAGGCCCAGCACACGGAATTCACCTGGGGAGGAAGCACACAGCAAGATGGCAAGATGGGCTTGACCACCAGCTCACAGAGAGAAATGGCCAAGTTCTTAGAGTTACTTGTGGGGACACATAGGATTTTTTTCTGCAGGTCTCATTCCTCTTAAAGTGGGTTAGAATAAGCATTCTGAGGACAAGAGAGCTCCCTGTTCCAGCCATATGGGGCCTCATTAAGGCCAGAAGGAAACAAAGCCCAGATCTCACCCTTCCACGCCAGCACAAGTCCTACATGAGGAAGCTGATGTACCCACCAGCTGGGGCCCAGTTCTCCACAGTGGCAGGGGACAAACCTAACTCCAAAGCTATGTTGTATCTTACTTTACTCTAAGCCATCTCAACCTATCTGGATCTTGTGGCTTTCATGTCTTGTAAGTCACAACTTCTTACAGATGCGGCCACCAGCCCACTCTAATTTAAAGGTCGCCCCTAGATAGCGAGAGCCCCGTGTTTATCTAAACCTCAGGGGTGGCCACAGACTGTCTTGGCGATGGGTGTATTAACCTCACATAGGAGGAGGACTCAGCTGGGCATGGTGGCGCACGCCTATAATCCCAGCACTTGGGAGGCTGAGGCAGGAGGATCGCTGTGAGTTTGAGACCAGCCTGGGCTACATAGTGAGTTCCACGTCAGTCTCAACTACATAGTGAGACCCTGTCTCAAGAAACCAAAAAAAAAAAAAAAAAAAAAAAAAAAAAAGGAGGACTCCTTCATTCAGGCCAGTCACTGCAGCCCACGTGCCTGACTTTCCTGGAGGGAATGTCCTTAGAACCAGGTAAAGCAGTGCTGCCCTGAGCCTACCCCAACCATCTAAGTTAATTTTCTCTTCCAATACAGGACACTCCTCAGCTCTTTTTCTATTCCTGTGGGTCCATGGGTCCTCAGAAACCAACAAACTACTCGTTCCCTGGAAAAATGAAGTAACTGTGCCCTGCCTTCTACACAAAGTTCTTCTCTGTGGCCAACTACTATAGGGCCCTGGGCCCAAAGGGCTCCAAGGCTGAAGAGCCGGATGACGTACCTTACGGCTGGTGAAGTAGAAGTTTTCAAGCATGCGCACTTTGAGTGCGGGGGTCTTCAGTCCACTCAGGCTGATGATGCCATACTTTGCACCTCCGATGTCATCGTTCACTGTGAAGAGTCGGTCACTGTTGGTATCCGCCTGGGGGGAATGAGCTGCAGGTGACCTCCCAGACTGAGCCACATGTGCTAAGTCCACCTGCTCATCTCTCTTGGCCTCCTCGCTCTATGCATCTTCCTCAGGTGACAGCTCTGCTCCACGACAGAGCGTAAAGATGACCTAAGTTTCCCTCACTCTGTATTTGTAGTGACCTTTGGGCAAAGTTCACAGCAGGGCAGGGAGTGGGATTAGGGTGGTGCAGGTAGGGAGTGTGTGGCCATGAAGACTGAGGTCAGTACTGACCCCCCACTCCACTAGAGCTGGGTTTGAAGGGTCAGCATCAGCCCAGAGGAACATACCACGTGGCCATCATAAAAACCACACGATGACATGAAAACGCTAGTTATAACTGTTAATGGGCCAAGAAGGATACCAAACTGTATTCCTATTATAGGTGATGATCACCAACAAGAAAACACCGCACTGGCTTAGCATCTGTGAGGCCCTGGGTATGATCACTGTTACCAAAAGAAACAAAACAAAACAAAACAAAAATGTACACATAGAAGTGTACATTATACTGAATAAAAAATACACCAGAAAAGTCTGCATTAGAATGTGGGCTATTTTTAAATTTTCTTTTTTTCCTTTAGAAAAAGAACAGTAAATGATTCAAAGCAAAAACTCCCCATATGTTCATGGCTTTGTCTACACTGCTGCACAGGGATACGCACGCACTAGGGTTTGGGTGCCAGTGAAAATGCACAGACTGCAATTTCACTTGGGAAGAAGAGTTATGTTTCTGGGTGGCCCATTAACAATGAGAAGAATCTGACTTGAAGAGGTGCTCTGCGATGGTGAATTGCCTTTCCAAGCCCTTGGGTCACAGCAGCCACCCAGGCTCCCCTGTGACGCTGGGCGACGGGAAGAGACGGAGCGAGGGGACTGGGTGCTCAGGCTCGTAAGAAGCAGTGTGTGCAGCACTCTGTGACCTTCACCAGTCCCTCGATTCAGCCCAGAGAAGGGGAGCCCACTGAGAATATATTCTACTGGTTCCGGTCCAACTGTAGCCCCAAACATAAAGAGTAAAGCGGAGAATCTGGGCCTTGTCCCTAACACCCCTCACTTGGCAGGGCTCTCCCTCCAGGTACCCTGGGGCAAGAGGACTCAGAATCAACCTCGAGTCTAAAGGTGAGCCTCAAGTCCTGCCCAGACAGATCACTCTGTCTCTCCTCTCTCTCCTGGGCCTTTGGGGAGGTGAGGCTTCTTCCACTGCGGAGGACCCACCAGCTCTCCACTGACGTTTCCAGGCCTAGGTGCCCAGGCCCGCAGGCCCTTGCCAGGGACAGTGAGTGTCAGAGCCCGTTGTAAATAAAGGCACACTGGAACACCAAACCCGCCCAGGGGTAGGAGTGGCCAGAAGCTCCAGGTGGCTGTGCACCTCTTCAGTTGCATGTACAATCCAGCCAGGGAGGTTATTTTGTAAGGGTTTTTAGTTGATGTGTAGTTGGACCTAGGATCTATGTCAAATGCCAAGGGTGGAGTGAGGGTGATGATGGTCACAGCACAGCCCACCTGCCAACTCAGTACCCACCTACAGGTGGCCAGCAAGTAGGTTCAAACTGTAAAACCAAGAGGACACTGCCTGCTTTTCAGCTATTGGCTTCTACACAGCCGGGCCAATGACAGCTGTGAAGCATCCGGGGCCTGGCTGCCACGCCCAGCATCCAGACAAGACCTTGACTCACCAGGATCAGGCTGAACTGGTCGCTCGTCAAAGTGGAGGGATTTGAGCGCTGGATGTGCACCCTTTTCCTCTCCATGCAGCTCAGTCGTAGCTCGTGGGCTAAGCTACAGAAGGAAAAGAGACGCAGGAGGGGGATGGACCCAGAGCAGGACACCCACGCTGGAGGCTCAGAAGCCACACGTGGCGGTGAGCACCTGCAGTCTGAGCTACTTGAGAGACTGAGGCAAGAGGACTGAGCGCAGGAGTTAAAGACCAGTCTGGTCGGCTGCGGGAGTCCGTGGCAAACAAAACAAAATAAAAACCAGAGTAAAGGGTCCCTTCTCTGTACTACTTCTCAGCAATGAAGCTGAGCGAGAACCCCCAAATTCTGAATTTTAGTTTTCTCATATAATGATGAGGGAAACTAAAACAAAGCACCGCACAGGCCTTCGCACCAGAGAATGTCAGAAGCAGGGGAATCTGTTCCTAGACTTCCTGGCACAACAGCCTTCTCTTGGGATGAAGCCAATGTCCCTAAGGACGGCCAACAGGCTGAAGGACACAGGACAATGGGAAGTGCCCTGGCGTGTAGATACCCACCTGCCCGCCCCGTTCACCTCCACTGCAAAGGGAAGAGATACCATTACCTCTGCCCTTCTCAGAACCAGGGAACACAGGGCACCTGCCCTGCCTGATGGCCTTTGCACAGCTGGCCTCCCGTGAAGGGCGCGCTGCTCCCCGGTGAGAGGACGAAGCCCCAGTAAGCCACGTGAGACACACGTGGGAGGCAGAATAAGGCGGGGAAGGGGGTTAGGAAGTCAGGTGCCAGAGTCAGACAGACTCCTGCCTTAATGGCCGTATCCTGAGAAAATCGCTCCATATCAGGCATCCTAAGCATTTTGATACATTTCGTATGAACATATCCATTTAATGGCCCATTTCTGGTGACAATTAGAAAAGGAAAGAGAAGGAGGCAGAAATCTCAAGGAAGGAAGTTGCCAGGAGAATCACACAATAAACAGCTTAAGAGATTTCTGCCTAAATCCTCCTTCCTCCCTCCCCACTGGAGAGAGGGTGAATCTCTTGGGGCTGGTTCATGTGGCAGCCGGGTACACTGGGACCTTTCATCTGTGAAGACTCCTCATGGAGCAGCCCTCTGGATTCTTAGACCACAGAAATGGGAAATGGGGAAGAATGCCAGGTTTGTGGTGTACGCTCGTCATCTCAACTCCTCAGGAGGCTGAGGCAGGAGGATCAAAAGTTTGAGGCCAACCCAGGTAATTTAACAAGAACATCTCAAAATAACAAAGGGCCAGAGTAAAGCTCTGTGGCAGAGTGCTTGCTTAGCATGTATGAGGCCCATGTAGGGTTCAATCCCTAGTGTTGCAAAAGAAAAGAAAAATTAAAAAAAGAAGCAAACAGGAAAGAACATTCATGAAGAAAACACAACAGTGGGCTGGGGATTTGGCTCAGTGGTTCTGCCAAGTTTGATCCCCTGTACCAAAAAAAAAAAAAAAAAAAAAAAGAAAAAGAAACAAAGAAAGAAAGAAAACACATCAGTGAGGCACTGTCTTACCGGCAGTAACTGTTGACGCTGAGAAAACCCAGCTGGCTTTTTCGTAGGAAGGAAGACGCATTAAATCCCATTCTGGCTACTTTCTAAATTAAAAGAAAGAAAGACTCAATGAAGATTTATTTGTGTTGTAGGATAACAAACACTTTAGTTTCACAGGATGCAATGAAGGAAACAGGTGTTAAATGGGTAGAAATCAGACACGTAAAAATCTGACAGTGTCTTTTGCCAGTTAGAATTGCACCAGAATTACAGTTACTTCCTCCTCTCCTGGGCAGGAGCAAAAGCCATGCTCATGAAGGCGGGTGGGGGCTGAAAGTTGGCACCATATCTCTGTCCGAGGCCCTTTTTGGTGGCACCCAGGAAGAAGCAGCCAGTGAGGGCAGAGGGAGTCTGGACTCTGGGTCAGGGCGGTAATTACCCTCCATCCCCCCAGGGCAGTTCGGAGCAAAACATCGGAAATTGGTCTGCAAGACTGCCTGAGGCACTCCACTGGCCTGATTTCCATTTGAAAGGTACGGTGACTCAACTTCCACTGTGCTGCTTCCCAATACACTTCCCGGGCAGCACAGTCTCCCAGGACTAGAGGACACTTAGCAAACAGGAAGAGGTGGGGCGGGATGGCTTCTCCTCTTCTAGTCTTATTCTCTTCCGTTTCCCTGTGGGGGAGGAGCGGGGTGGGGGTGAACTCCCTCACCTGCCTGTGCTAAGCCTCATAGGGTGTCTGACTGGCAGGTGGAGGCCCACCTTTTTCTTTTTTTCCTCTTCCTCTAGCAGATGCAGTCTTTTGCGCTCCATTTCCTTTTGCTCGATGCTCTCCTTGGTGAGGGGGTTGCAGTTGTTGTGTCCTGGGAGCAAGCGGAAGTAGCGGTTCTTTTCGGGGTCGAAGTAATACCCAGGTAGATCTTTAATGAATAAACATTAAATTCAGCAACTTAAAATGCTGGGAACAGACCCACCTAGGAAGGAGCCCAGCCGCCTGTCTTTTCTAAGGGCCAGCAGGGTGTGGCATGGTCGGTCCCTATCCTGAGCTGAGTTCAGTCCTGGGGGAGACCATCTGCCCCAGGAACACTGTTCCCGACACGGCAGCTCCTTTCCTCAGGGTTTCACTTGCTTCTGGGATTCCCTCCAAGCCAGGAATGCGCTGATGACTCCCGTGCAAGTGAGGAGTCACAGACACATCTGAGTCTGCTGAGGAGGAAGGGCAGCCAGAAGAGACAATGCCGGGGGACTTGGCAGGGGAGGGCTTCAGTTCATTCTGGCTGCTGGGCCAGAGAAGTCCTCTCCAGCAGCTGCTTACCTGGTGCAGAAGGATCCCCAGCAGTATTGGATGAGGTCGATGGGGCCTCCTCATCGCCGTGGCCAGAGTCCTGCGATCTCTGCTGTGGTCCTGTCGTACACCTGAGGACACACAGCTGGGATGATGGGCAGTGCAGAGCCTGAGTTCCCAATCACTGACCCGGTCCTACCCAAGCAATTCTGCAACCTTTGCCCTTACCTTTCTGATCGCTTTGGAGAACTGACTCCTTACTAGAAATACACCAAAAGGGGGGTGACTTTGCTTTGTCTGTCTCTCTTTTTATTTTCAGAGAGGATGCATGTCACAGTAATTTCCTCTTCTCACGTGAGCCTTTTGTGAGGTCTTCTGGAATCTTTCAGATGAAAAGTAGAACAGAAATCTTTGCCAATAAGAATTCTACCAGCCTGGCTCATTTGTCAGCTCAAGAGCAGTTGAATTTCATTCTTTATTGTATTTAGTAGTAGAAGAGTTTAAATTGCACCAGGTTAGCCAACCTCACAGATGGAGGATCTGGGGTGCAGGGAACAAAGGTACAGTAATTTCAGTAACACTGAGGCAGAGCCACGGCTAAAACACTGGAATGGTAAAGGCATAAGCGGCTGGTGGCAATTACAGGTTGAAGGATACAGTGACAAAGCACAAGACCTTTGTTTAGAATTCTGATAAAACTGACTTTAAAAATCAATAATTTGTTTTCCTTTTTTTTTGGTGGTACCAGGGATTGAACTCAGGACCATGTGCTTGCAAGACAGGAGCAGGACCATTGAGCTAAATCCCTGGCTTTTTTTTTTTTTTGAGACAGGGCCTTGCTATGCAGTTCAGGCTGGCCTTGAACTAACTCACTATGTAGCCCAGGCCAGCTTTGAACTCGCAGCAATCCTCCTGCCTCAGCCTCCCAAGTACTGGGATTATAGGTGTGGGCCACCATGCTGGCCTAAAAATCAAGAATTGCTTCCCCGCATACACATATACTAAAAGGAATATGAATTACAAAACTAGAGTAAAGGAATGAGAAAATATTCTTTCTTCCATAAATACCAGTGCTACGTAGAGCTTCAGGGAAAATTATTTATTCCCCTTTTCCTGGCCCACAGCTTCCCGAAGCAGCTCATCTGTGATCAGCAGGAAGAGGAAGAATTAAGCGCCATGACAAATGTCTGTGTTTTTCACCCAAAGGCTGCCGCTCCATTCTTTCCACAAGGAGTCCAGAGGGCAGCTGTGCTCAGCAGGTTTCCAAACCACCTGCCAAAGCTGAGTGGGGATTTTTGCACTCATCACATTTTGTGACACAATGTGCTCCTGGGGAAGGCCCAGAGCCCAAAAAGTATCCATGGTCTCTTTACAAGACATGCAAACACTGGGAAGGGTCCTGAGCACCCATACCTTTCTGTAATATGGGTTGGATTTGAGGATTTCTACCCACTGAGATCTATCATGCCCTGGGGGCCTCCTCAGAGCCAGGCAGCCTTTCAGGGTTATTGGCTCTGTTTCATACAAAACACAGTGGCACAGAATGGTGAGGTGCTTGGCCCCATTTCCTAAGAGAAAGCTGAGCTCCTGGGTCTAAAGCCCTTGTTTGTTCTACAACTCCTGGATGCTTCTGTTACTATTTCTTCTAGAGAAGCATCTTGATACTAGACATCTTATGGTCCTGTAACTAAGAAATCTGTTTTGCTGGGTGTGGTGGCGCACACCTCTAATCCCAGTACTGAAGCCTGAGGCAGGAGGCTTGCTATGAGTTTGAGGCCAGCCTGGGCTACACAGCAAGACCCAGTCTCAAAAAACAAGCATGCACACAAACAAAAAGTCTGTCTGTTTTAAAAGGTCTGAACCAGGGGAGAATTTAAAATTTGGCAGCAGCTTCCCTTTTGGTGCTGAGGGAACTTGCGACACTGAGGGATGTGGGGAGACAGGGTGGCCAGGAGTCTTGCAGAAACCCTCAGCAGCAGAGCTGATATCCTCTCCTGGGGCCAGGGGAGCTGTCTTGTTCCAAGACAGAACCGGACTTCCTTCATGAAGAAAAACAAACAGAATGTAGAAAATGTTTATACTGGGGATATCAACTCAGTGTAAATCTTATTTTCTAAGTTGGGTGCCAGATAAATGATGTTCACATCACTTTTTTAAAAAAAGTTTTTGTTCTTTTTTTAGAGACAGGGTTTCACTATGCAGTCCAGGTGGGCCTTGAACTGCCTGTGTAGCCAAGGCTGGCCTTATACTTGTGACCTTTCTGTCTTGGACTCCTGTGTATTTTTTTTTGTTGTTGTTGTTTTGAGACAGGGTCTCACTATGTAGTTGAGACTGACCTGGAACTTACTATGTGGCCCAGGCTGGTCTCGAACTCACAGTGAGCCTCCAGTCTCAGCCTCCCAAGTGCTGGGATTACAGGTGTGCGCTACCATGCCCAGCTCCTGTGTATTTTTTAAATAGACTTTTGGGTTTATTAAGTATAGTGTTCAATAGACTTCAAAACCAAACTAAAATAGAGAAGTAGATCACCAATTGTGTCACGTAATATCTACCTGTAACTATGTGGACAACACTGACTAGAAGCTATAGTTGCTGTGAAAGAAAGAAGCGCGTGGCCGTGCCCCCTCACTACCCTGAGTGGTAGATGGGACCCACAGTCGCCACACGCCCAGGGAACCTGCTGGATGTACAGCTCTCCTCAGGCCCCCACACACGCTGGCATGAAACGCACTGTGGCGCTGGGCACACCTGGCTCCCGGCCCTGGCATACTTGCCTCTCACTGGAATTGCGCTGTCTGCACCATGAGTTCTGCTGGCGGCTTCTTCTCCCATGTCTTCTCCTACTCTGCCTGCTGCTTTTATTCATTTCTGTTCCTAGCAGAGAAAAGAGATGTCATATATGTCCCCGTGTGTGTGTGTTCTCCCGTCTGCTTCTTGGCACCTGTGCCTTCCCTGTAGACAGCGCCTCCAGCGCTTTCCCGTTTCCTTCCCAACACCCTACATGGATGGCGCAGTTCCCTCTCCCAGAGAAGTGACCAGGCATGAACACCCGTTTAACACAGCGATGGCGAACCTTGTAGAGCTTTCAGTGATAACCAACAGCTGGATGCAGCACTCGTTCCATAGGTTCACCGCCACCGCTAAGCTCTCTCCCTGCTTCCTCACAAACACCTGCCCACACCAGTTGTCTCCCGCTGGAGAAACACTCATGTTTCAGGACCCTTTCAAGACACACCCATCCCACCCGGCTATTGGTCTCATACCTCCCAGCCTCGGTATACTTCTGTTCTCATCCATGTTTAATGTCTCCCTCTCCTTAATTCAGCTTATAAACATGCTCCAGTTTTTCAATTGTGTGCGTCCCACTTCTGATCCAGAAGAAACAAATATTTTGAAAGAACGCGCTTTATGTACAAATTCAATGCCTTCATTTTTCAGTATTCCTCAACCCACTGCTCTCAGGCGTCCTGCCCTCTCCTTGTTCTGCTAAAATGTTTTGCTGAGGAACTGACTGTGATCACCTCCTTCCCAAAGTCGGTGCGCTCTCTCTGGCCCTTATTCCTGCAGCGTGTGATACCATGAAGCATTTCTTCCTTTTATTGCTGTTAATATCTTCTCTTCCTGTCAAATTCATCCTTTACTGGGTTCTCCCGGCTCACACACCCACTGGGGTCCACCATTCTGTCCTAGATCCTCTTCTTTTCACATTAATCCCACCCAATCCACCGAGGCTCCCCTCCGGCTCAAGCATCCTTCTGAGCATCAAGTTCTTCTGCTGTTGCTTCCCGTCTGTTTCCAGAGATGCAGCAGAGTCAGTGAGTTTCGAGGTGAGTTCATGGACAGAGGGTGTAGCTCAGTGGTAAAGCATGTGCTCAGCAGTACAAGGTCCTGGGTTCTTTCTCTAACATCAAATGAATAAAAGATTCAACGATCTCTTTCTAGATCACATCTGCTCTTTTATCAATAGATGTTTCCCTTCTCTGTAAATATCATAGCCTCCTCTGGTCTGAAAGTATAGTCACTGCATTCATTTCCCTAAAGAATGACCCCCAAACGCCATATGTACGGGATTCCCCATGGATCAGCGATCTTATGCCGCAGCCAAAGAATAAGGTTGCAGTTATAGCCAAGCTTCAAGCTAAAAGGCACTGTGAGTAGTAAGTAGGAGGAGCAAGTATGGTCAGAGTTAAGAAGAAAAATAAACCACACTGACATAAAGTTCATTATTAGCCATTCCACAAAAAGCAACACTTCTTTAGGGTGCATAGTCTGTACATAAGTAACTCTAGTTTCTTTGCAGTAATCCAGGAATACAGTGAAGACCACACACCTCCGTGGCTCCAAGCCTCCATCCAGCTCACCCGTCAGGAGGCAAGACCACGCCCCTCCTACACCATTAGCCTCAGTGAGGACCTGCATGATCAGGACACAGTAGATAATGCCTATAAACCTAACACTTGGGAGGCTGAAGCAGGAGGATGGCCACAAGTTCAAGGCCAGCCTGGGCTACACAGTGAATTCAGAGCTAGCCCGAACTATATTTTGAGACTCTGTCTCAAAATAACAAAAAGCAAAACAAAACAAAAAAGAGGTCTTCCCCAAATGCAAATGTAGTTCATTCTCTAGATCCACTTTAAACAGTTTATGCTCGCACTTATCAATATTAAACTTTGTTTATACTCCCATCTCATCTCTTTTCTATTACTAGCACTCATGGCCTAGTTGGCTGAGTAAATATTTGGAAAAAACAAAAAACATACAAAACAAAACAACAAACCTGCAGCTACCTGTAAATCTCAGCTAGCTTCCTACTGCTCTGGGAGTCTTTTTTTTTTTGGACCGGGGATTGAACTCAGGTTCTTGTGCTTGCAAGGCAGGCCACCGAACCGCTCAGCTAAATCCCCGGCCCTGCTCTGGGAGTCTTAAATTAACACACACTTACAGAGTAGCCACTCACATCAGGCTCTGGTCTGGGCACTGGGGTGTGGTCAGGGATCATGAAGTTATCGCCCCTGGGCTTATGGTACTCACTGTCAACCACAGACCCAGGTCTCCTCTGGGGGCTTTGGAGAGAGAGAGAGAGAGAGAGAGAGAGAGGGAGGGTGGGAGGGAGGGAGAGAGAAGTGACTGCCCTATGTGGACAGGGCAGGGCAGGGTGGGGTGGCTGAAGCACAGTCTAAGGTAACAGTGGGCCAAGGGGACAACAGGCAGGCAAAGTCTAAGTACAGTGCAAGGGATTTCGGGAAGAGGCTGGAGAGACCAGCAGGGCTCAGTGGTGAGGACTGCAGTGCAAGGGGAGTGACCCACACGGAAAGGCACTTTAAAGGCAGCAGCATGGGGAACAGGGAAGAGTTAAGGACTGCAGCAGCAACAGGGCTGAGATGAACAAACTAGGAAAGTGGCATTGGGAAGAGAGGAGCCTGAATTTAGAAAGATTTAGGAGGTGAACTTCATGGGACAGGAGGGGAGAAAGAACCTAAGAATGGGAAAGGGAATCATTGGTAGTGTCATGATCTAGGAGACCCAGGATAAAGGAAGAGCAGATGGAGGCATGCAGAAACTACAGCTGATTTTTGAACACACCAACCTCAAGATGTAGGCAGTTGCAAATAGGGCCTAAACTAAAGATACAGATTTGAAGTCCCACATATAAACTGTACCATATACATATGTATTATTGAGAATTCAACTCAATTTTTTCAGTCATATGAAATCTGGCAAGTACCAGTTTATAGCTCAGTGATTATTTTTGTGGTACTGGTGATTTGATGATTGCTGTAAGTGTTCTACCACTGAGTTCAGTTTTTTTGTTGTTGACTGTTTTTTTGAGACAGGGTCTTCTTGCTAAATTGCCCAGGCTGGCTTCAAACTTATGATCTTCCTACCTTACTTCCTGAGTAGCTGGGATGAGGTGTGCGCCACCATTTCTCTGTTGGATGACCAGTTAATTTTTAACCACAGACAGTTTGGTCTACTAGGCACTTTTGGCAATACCTGGAGACATTTTTGCTTGTTTCCCCTTGGGGAGTGGTGCCTTGTACTGGTATCTAGTGGGTAAAAGTCACAGATGCTGCCAACCGTCTTATCCCTAGGACAGGTTCAGTAAAGAATTATTCTATGAGGGTGTGGTGGTACACACCTGTAATCCCAGTTACTTGGGAGGCTGAGGCAGGAGGATCACAACCTTGAGGCCAGCCTTGACAACTTAATGAGATCCTGTCTTGAAATAAAATAAAAAGAGTTGGCAAAGTAGCTCACAAAGCCCCAGGTTCAATCCCCACCCCCCACCCCCAAAAGAAAAAATGTTATCTGACTTAAAGCAGCAAGGATTGAGAAGCTCTGCTCTAGGTGGACAACACACAATAACAATTTCCTATGTGAAATGCTATGTCCAATATCCCTAGAGCTGTTCCACAGGGTACAGACTTTAAAATGTATTGCAAGATGCCCAGGCTGGTTTGCCTTCCTGCAAATCTTGTAAGTTTTTAAAGGCCTAAAAACAGTAAATCTTCAGAGATGGCTATCCTAAAAAGCAACCTCAAATAATAAATAAACATCACTTGACTTTTTGGAAAGTGATTAGGCAATATTTATCAAGCAATTTGTAAACACATATATCTTCCTTTTTCTGGGACTCAATCTCAAGAAAATAATCCAAAAGACTACGAGAGTTAGTGTTACATTCCTTTAGTCCCAGCCACAAGAAAGGCTGAAGGCTGAGGCAGTAGGATTAGGTCCAGGAGTTTCAGGGTAGCTTGTAAAAAAAAAAAAAAAAAAAAAAAAAAAAAAAAAAAAAAAAAAAAAAAGCAAGAAAGTTATACAGAAGTTATTTACTACAATCTTCCAACCTTATGAGGCCAAAAGAATTCTGATATCAAAACCAGACACCAAAAATATCAGAAAACTATAGATCAATACAGATGAATGCAGATACAAAAATCCTCAATAAAATGATAGCAAGCTAAATCCAAGAGTATATTACAAGGATTATACATCATGATCATGATCAAGTGGGATTTATCCCAGGAATTAGGTTGGTTCAACCTCCCATGATCAATTAATGTAATACATTGAATTAACAGATATGGGAAAACCCACAAGATTCTCTCAATTGATACAGAGAAAAGCATTGTACAATACCCAATATCATTTCCTGATAAGAACACCCAACAAACTAGAAAGAGAAGAGAATTCCTTCAAATTGCGAAAGGGCATCTACAAAAATGCCACAGACAACATCACCAATGGTGGAAGACTGAAAACTCCTCAAGACCAAGAATAAGACAAACATGTCTGCTCTCTATTAATCACAGTACTGCAAGTTCTATGTAGGACAAATAGAGAAAGAAATAAAAGGCATTCAAAGAGCCAAAGAAGTGAAAATATCTCAATCTGCAGATACAGTGTTATACAGAAAATCCTAACGAATCCATCAAAAAACTTCTAGTAAATTCAGCAAAATTATAGGCTACAAGATCAACGTATAAAAATCAGTTATATTAATGTATATATAATAATGCAATTAACAGATGAAACCAAAGTTACATTTACAATAGTATCAAAAAGAATTAAGACATTTAGGAATATATTTAAGAAATTAAATGCATGACATACATTGAAAATAATAAAACATCACTGAAAGAAATGAGAGACTGAATGCAGACCCTATCAAAGGTCTAGCTGCATTTTTTTTTTTTTTTGCTGCAATGGATAAGTGAATCCTAATATTCATAATGAAATGCAAGGGATCCAGAATAGCCAATTTTGAAAAAGAATAAAGTGAAAGACTCACACTTCCCAATTCAAAATCTAGCTAAAAGCTGAAGCAATCAAGACACTGTGATACTAGCGTAAGGATAAAGATACAGACCAAT